TGGGGGGGGGGGGGGGTGGGTTAAGCTAACGTAGGATGAATAGTCGAGGGTTGGATTTTGTTTTGTTTGATATGTGTGAAGGATATGGCTTTCATAAATCATAACTGCCACTTTTTGTTGGGATTATAATTATCATTTCCCTTATCTTCTTCTCCTTATTTCACCCCAACTTTTTCACTACCCCATATCATATGTAATTTCTTTTAGTTGCAGTAAAATTTTGTTTTAACCTCAAAACTCACACTTTAACAGCAGTCAATAAAGAAGTATTGACTTAAGTTTCCACACCTCTTATTTTTTTAGGTTACAGAGAGAAAATTAGTGGCCGAGTCAGAATTTTTTACTAATGTTAGTTATAGATTTCCGCAATTTTATTTAAATAATATAAAACATGAGAACATGAGTAAATATTAAAATTGATATAAAATAAGTTAATATGATCATGCAAACTACTTATGTATTACAATTAATCCTTTCAAGTTTCAATTTATGAAAACTCCAGATTTGAATTGCCAAAATGATATAAGTTGGTTGGACTAAATAAATAATCGAGCTACTATGCAGTGCCAAAATGTCTGATTCAGAGTGGGCTGGAGTACACACATCCATTATTGGGTTGGAATTGAAATCGACTCGTTGACGATCTGAATTTGGCCCATTGACCGTTAACTCGGGCTCGACTCGTGACTAAACCGTCACATTATAAGGTTCGGTTACAGTTCACGCAAACCTTGAATTGCGAATTCGGTTGTTCGACTCGATAGTTCCAACCGGGGTGGACCCAAGAGAAGACAAGGGGGGCTGCCTCTCCTACAACAACAAAAAAAATCGTTTTTGTTAATAGCCTTTTTCATCTTTTCTATGTATTCTGTGCCCAAAAAAAAAAAAAAAAAAAAAAAAAAAAAACCCTTGAAATATACCATTTATAATTAAGTTTAAATGATTCCAAATAAGATAATATTAGCATATTATATTTTGATTCAAGATATGTCAACTAAAAATTGATGTTTTTCAAGATATACTTTGTTTTTGCCAGGTAGACACACTAATATTACTGTCAAACACAATAATATTAGTGCGGTTCGACAGTAATATGGTTGTCAACTACAATAATATTACAATAGCAGACAGTATTATTTTACTAATCAACAAATCAAACAAAATAAAAACGGAAAAAGAAAATATTGATATGGTTCAGTAATATTATTGTGTTTAGAGTAATTTTACTTTCAACCACAATAATATTACAATAATAGACAAACGATATTATCACGTTGATCGGTAAACAAGAAATAAAAAAGCAAAATATAAGTAATATTGATGTAATCGACAGTAATATTATTGTGTTTACAGTAATTTTACTATAATCCATAGTAACATAACTATCAACAATGGGGAAAGAAATGAAAAAACAAAAAAAAATTCAATGTCGTTGGAGATCAATGGTGACCGCGGGTCCGTGGTAGTGTAAATAAAGTAGAAAAAAAGGAAAATAGAAGAATAAAAAATTGAAAAGAGAATGTCAAACTTGAATTTGTTATTGTCAAAATTGATAAAACTAGAATTAAATTAGTGTTACAATTAGGAATTGAGTTTAAAGAATTGGAGATAATTTTGTAACAAACATTAAATTTGTCTTAGGAACTTACGTATGAAAAAGACTCATTATGATTGTAATGTGGTTTGTACGCTCTCTCCTAAGGATGGCAATTTGACCCGCCCAGATAGATCTCTGTCCTGACCCGTGTCGAAATTTTCAGGTATTTTTCACCTCGAAAAAAATGGAACATGTACGGGGATTGATTTTTTTTTTTTTTTTTTTTTTTTTTTTTTTTTTTTTTTTTGTGGTAATGCAGGAACCCGCAGCCAACCATATAGGTGCACTGGGTAAACCTACACTCTCGTATAATAGCTTGCAAACCATACGAGAGATGTAAACCACACTAGGCTAACCATGTGTGACAAGCTCGACCTAGCGACCGTTGGCAAGGGGATTCGAACTTGGGTCAATTGACCCAAACTCTCTTGCTCCAACCGCTAGGCCACCCTTGCGGGTTGGGATTGATTTTTTTCTTATTACCTAGTACGGGGATGAGTTTGCCTATACCCACCCCGTAGACCCACACCGTCCCCGTTCCCATACCCGCCCTGCAGTATTTATATATATAATATATATTTAGTAATTATTTTATTAAATATAAATAATTAAATAGTAGTAATATATTAAATATTAGCTATAAATGAGTATTTTTAGGTTTCGATATATAATTAAATATTAGTATTATAATTAAATATTGATTTGTTTGTTAAAATAAGCCTTTAGATTATAAGTAAATTGCATATTTATTTAGGGGAAATATGCAATACACCCCTCAAATGGAAAATATTTTGAACTAAACCCAATTGACTTTTAAAGACTTTTCCTACACCCAAATTTCATTCTTAATTAGTGAGACCCCCCTCTACTAGTGTGAGAAGACAAATATACCCTCAACTACTACAACCCTAATTATTTACCCACATCTATCACTTTCATCTTCTCCACCTCTCCACATCTTTCAACTCTATCCGGAAATTCCAACCTGCCATTGCCACCGCCGTCGCGCCGCCGCCGCCGCGCCACCACCGCTCATTGTCATCGTCGCTTCCTCCTTCATTCCCAATAAATATCTTTCTTTCTCGTTCATTATCTCTCTCGATTTCTCTCTCTCTTTACACCACCAACGTCTTCACATAGATCTCTACACCACCACCATCGCCCACGTTGCCGCCGTCGCGTCCTTGTCTCCAGGTAATTTTTTTCTCCCTTTTTCGTTATTTCTTTCGATTTCTCAAGTTTTTTTTTTCCAGATCTGGCCACTACCGGCTTCATAGCCGCCTCCCCATTCTCTATTTCATTCACCGTCGTTGTTGCCGTCTCCCCCTCCCTCCCTTTCGTTATTTTCAATTTTTTTTCTTTTTTTTTCTCTCCAGATCTGAAGCAGCAGCATTAACGTGACTATGGTCTGGTTCGAATATGACTATTGCTGATTTCAATCGATTAGTGATATTTTAATTTCTCGTATGTTAGGCCAATCACCAATACGAGTTTTGTTCACAAAGAATGGGAGGGCTTCCATTGTACAACCAAAGAAAAGGTAACTAAGCTTCTCGTTTTATAATACAGAAGAATGAAACTTTATTTTCTTTGATCACATTGCAAATTAAATTCGATATTTTTTTTTTCTTCAGATCTATTCACCGCCACCACCGTCGCAACCTCTCTTATTCTTGCTTTCGTTCACCGCCGTTGTCGTCAACTCCCCTCTCTTTTCTTTGTTATATTTATCTATCTATTTGTGTATTTTTCGATTTTTTTCCCTTCAGATTTAAACTAACAGGAGTAAAATGACTATAGTCCATATTCAACATGACTATAGTCATATTCGAATATTTTTTTTTTGTCAGATCTCAACTAGCAGTGGTAACATGACAATAGTCATATTCGAATATGACTATTGTTTGAATATGACAGTAGTCATATTCAAATACGTTCCATATTTTCGTTTCAAGTTGACTTGTAATAACAACTTGAAAGTTGTGATTTTTTGTATGGATGTTGATTGGATGTTTTTTGTAATCAATAGGCAATTTTCGTTTTTTATATATAATTTGGTAAACATGACTGTACTACACTATATAATCGGAATTTTTAAAATGAAAATATAAAAAACTGAATATAAAGAAGAAATATGACTATAGTCGATAGTCATATTCACCAATAGTCATATTCGGCTTAATAAACAAGTTGAGAAAAAAATTCAATTTTTTTTTAATTAAAAAAAAATATTTTTATTAAAAAAAATAAAATAATGCGAAATAAATCCGAAATAATAATAAAAAAATCGAAATAAATCCGAAATAATAAAAAATAAAATATAAAATATTTTCATTTTTTTATTTTTTTTATTTGGTAGCATATTTTTAGGAATTTGGAAGCAGGTTTTTAGGAATTAAATTGTTGTTATGGAAAGAGAGAAAAAAGGAATAATTGAAACAAATTATGCTAATTAACACAAGGGTATTATTGGGAATACAAATTCTAGGGGGTTATCACAAAGAAAGATTTAAGGGGTGGACATATCACCATTTATTAGCTATATGAGGGGCTTATTGCTAATGACCCCATTTATTTATTAAGAAAAAAAAAAAAAAAAAAAAAAAAAAAAAAAAAAAAGTAGACGACTATTTTTGCCCGTACCAATACCTGGGGATTTTATGGAGCGGATATGAGTGTAAACCACAAATTTTCGAATCTGTAAAACATAAATACAAGACAGGAAAATATGGAACAAATAATTTATTAATCAAAACGAAAGCGGATTACAATCTCCGTAATTCCCCTGATTCTTCTCTCCTATTCTAATTTTGATTCAAGGGCTTAAAAGCTTGTTCTTGAATCGAACATATGATTTCCTATCACGGAGGAATCGAATATATGATTTCCTATCACGAACATCTCGAATTCAAATATGTTATGAATTCGAGGCGGAGGCTCGAGACGTGAGCTTGAGAGCTCGATATGTGTCTGTCATGTGAGTCTCCATTTTTGCATGCACCGAAGGTCGCTTTTTATAGGCACGAGTTAGGGTATTGACTTGTAGCATGGGCCGATGGATTTGGATACTTGCCATTTGATTTATTGGGCTAGATTCGAGCCCAATTAGATAATCCGTAAAATAAGAATTTATTACTTATTTAAAGATTAATCCATGTGTAAAGCCCAAATATGTTATGAACTTAGATTTGAGACCCAATTAATAACCGATTTATTTGGCCATTAATTGGTCAAATATCGGTGTCAACAATGAGGATTCTTTTTATAAAGTTTGGGGTTTTAACGGGATGAGAATTTCCATAGCTGGATGGGATGAGAATTGCAAAACCCGCCCCATTCTTTTTACCCACCCCACGTAAATAGTAAAGGTTTTTCTTGCAAGATTTTTATAGTGGTCGGGTTGTTCGGCAAAGAGTGGATCGATATTGGTGGCAACTATTCAAACTTTCTTTGAGGTAAAAGGCACTCGATTATATTATTATTAAATTATTTATTATTTATCTTTATTGGTCGGAATATTAGTTGTGGGAGAAAGAAATCTTCATTTTCTTTTAGCTTTCTAACAATGCTAAAGCTAATATTAAAGAATATTCTCCACCATCATCTAAGGAAAACTGAAAATGATTTTACCACAATGAAAATATTTCTCACAATATGTGTTGGATTATATTTTGTCCATCAAGTAAATCACTAAATTGTACTTGGTTGTACTAAAATAAAATTATTTAAATTTATTTATCCATAAATTATTTTGAGCTTGCATTATACGATAAGATTCGATTCCTACACCTCTACTCTAATAGTAGAGGCTAGGTACCAACTCTCATAATGAAGGCTCCTTCGACCCTACACCTGGTGACGTGTGTATTTTTTTGTATTTTTCTACAACCCCTAAAGGTTAACCCGAGTGGGAGAATATATAATAAATAATTAAATATAACACGTATCAGCAGAAAACCCAGTCGAAAGAACCCACAAGGAACACCTGACAAAATGCCGCACGCAAATACATTCCGTAAAACACGCGCCGCACACAACGAACAAACCACAAAATTGCACACAAGCTATGGACACACAAACAAACACCAGAAAATACACAGACAAACACACCAAGAAAATGCATGAAAGAAGAGAAAGGAGATGGACAAGAAAAAAGATAATGTGAAGAAGATGTGCATAGACAAGTATAAATTTACGACGATGGACTCTTAGCCAATTATTTCTGTAAATTCTAAACCTAGGAAAGCATTTCAAAGTCTCGACGAAAAAAAAAAATCAATATAAAAAGAAAAGATAACCTTTTTTTTCTAGGAAACTCCTCTATTAGTATTAAGAAAATTATCAACGACATATGGCGCTCTATAACAAGTGTCTGCACAGAAATTCGTTTTTTTTTTACAGAGAAATAATCTCGAAACGAGTCAAATGATCTTTTATGCTTACTGTGCATGCACAATTCACAGCGTCCTGTGATCATCTTTCTGAAACCACGGGCCCCGTCAAGTAATATATATATATAATTTATATTCACTAATCTCCATTAATACTTTCGTGGTTCATTGAGTTTCAACCAGATATCCATGCTCTAACAGATCCGATAGAACGCTTCTCATTCTATCGACAGAAACGGGCTTTAGTACAACCCCTTTCATACCGACTCTCAGACAGTTGTCTTTTGTTGTTCTGTCTGTGTTTGCTGTGAGCGCTACAATAATAGGCCTGTCGTGGCGCTTTGAGAATTTCTCGTGTATACGTACCGCGATTTCGAAACTGTCGACACCTGGCATGCTCACATCTAGGAATACCACCTTGTGCTCGTGACTGACGGCTCTTATACACTCCTCTCCTGAAGCAAAAGCCGACACATCGCATCCCAGGTGTACAAGGAGGCCTTTGGTCACCATTCGCCCAACACTGCGTCAGATCGATAATCCAATAAAGATGTAATAAACCAGAAAAAAAAATATTGAAAATTAATCTCCTCAATAATAATAATAATAATAATAATAACAATAACATAATTATTTATCATAAAAAAGAAAAAAAAGAAAAAAATAAAATAAAAACACTAACCTATTATCATCCATGACAACAACTTTGAGACCCGAGAAATTTGGCTTTACTTGATTTCCGGGACCTTTCGGTACAAATGGAAGCTTAGAACCATTTAGACGACCCGGGATTCCAAGTTTAACAATAAAGACAGCTGTCGAACCCCTGCCAGCACCTTCACTTTCAATCCAAATGTGCCCTTCCATGAGATTCACAAACCTGGTCATACAAAATCGAGAACAATTTTGTTTTTATTTTAAATTGACAAAATTGGGGAAAAAAAAAACAAAAAGAATTACGCAGTTCGTTTGAATCACGAGACATTACCTTTTACAAATTGCGAGACCGAGCCCACTACCACCAGAATTTTTGGTAGCAAGAGGCTGGCTCTGCACGAATTTCATAAATATATTTGGAATATCTTGCGGGTTGATCCCTGCTCCTGTATCTTTTACCTATATAATAATAAATTAAAAAAAAATTACAAATAAAAATAAAAATTACACATTAAAAATTTAAACAAACTAGGCAATTGAAGACGAACCTCTACGCGTAAAAAGAAGTGATTATCACTCGGAATAGGGAAAAAATCGGGTGCTCGAGGATCTCTTAAAGACTCCGATTTTGCAACAAAAGCACAAATCGAAATACCACCCTCTTTAGTGAACTTTACAGCATTCCCCACAACATTAAGTAGAATTTGCATTAGCCTCTTTTCATCACCGACGGCATATTCAGACAAATCCGGAGACAAACTCAACGTAACATATAACTTCTTCACTGACGCAATAGGCTTTATCAAGTTAAGAGCCTACAAATAAGTCAAGAAGTCAAGATGAAAGGTCAAATATTATTATGAATTAAAAAAAAATAATACAAAAAAGAGAATATTATATTTATACCTCTCTGAAGAGTAAATGGAGGCTGAAAGTTCCTATCTCGAGTTGAAGGCTGCCATCTTCGAGCCTTGAAAGATCTAACACATCATTGATTAGGGTTGCTAAAAGGTTGCTACTTTTGAGGATTGTTTCGACCATGAGACGTTGCTCTGGCATGAGCTCGGTTTCTTGTAATAAGGAAGAGAGAGCAATTATTGCATGCATGGGAGTTCTCATTTCATGGTTCATTACAGCTAGGAAATCGTTACGGGCTCGAACAGCTGTCTCTGCTTCCCTTCTTGCGAGGTCGAGGGCGACATTCTGCTCCATTAGAAGATCCCTTGCCCTCATTGACTCTTCCAAAATTGCTGCGTGCGAAAGAGCAACAGCGACCTGATTCGAAAAGAAAATAAAAGTACACACTGAACTCACCGTCGAGGAATCTTAAAGAATCTTTCGTTCAGAAAGAGGAATCTACGGAGTCAGATTATATGTCCACAAACAGTAAATAGCTAGAAAAAAGAGATGCGACAGGATCAAACCTGGTCCGCCACAACTTCAACAAGCTCCAACTCATGCACGTGCCACTGCCTAGCACTGTCCGAAGGCAGCATCAAAACCATCAAAGCGTACCGCTTAGTCGAAAGCTCCGGCCAATCATGTATCTGGAAATTCGACAGGTGGAGGAGTGGGACCCGCACAGCAACCACCTCCCCTGGCATATACTTGCCAGCTGGCCGAAGACGAGCAACCGGAGTATTAGGAGAAATCTTCACCGCTCTACTCGTATTGAACACCTGGTTTATTACAGGAAGTTGTATAGGGACAGTATACCCAACCGGATTCTGATGCCGAAGCGTGTAAGAAAGCTGTAATTCCAATCCCGACCTAGTCGGCATCCAAAGCGCACATTCTTCCAAGCCCAACGTTCGCCCTAACTCCACAAGTGTGGTCTTTAATATCGTATGCCGATCGAGCGTGCTTCTTATTTCATGAGTCAGCATTCTAACGTGCCTACCGGTTTCCTCCTGCGTACGGATCAAACCCATTTCCCTATCTAATTCGGCTGCCTTGTTCTTCAAGAAAAGCTCCCTCGTTTTGACGCTCAACAAATCGGGGATTATATGTACTAGCATGAGCGCGGTCGCACAAGAAACGACAGCTGTCAAGATTTTAGAAGTGGTCATTACGACTGCCACTGTTCTTGTGTGCATGGTGAATGTCCATAGATTAATCAGGTGTGTGGCTCCACACAGTACGATGAACGCACCGAATTGCACGAGAACCCATCTGTACGGAAATACGGCGGATTTCTTGACAAAGTATATCAACTCCAATGGAATTGAGAAATACGCCAACGCTATGAAGAAATCAGAAATGTACTGATATTTCATCAGTAATTCGTCGGCGGGCCATGGTGGCTCGATGCAATTACAAAGCTCCATGTTTTTTTCTTTTTTTCTATGATCAGAGCTGCACTATAAAAGGACTACTATCTGAAAAGGAAAATTTAAGATTTTGATCAGAACAATTATTAGGATAACAAAAGCCATATGTAAGATCATATTTAATGAGGGAATCCCGACAACTCTTTTCAACGACCGTTTACGTATCAATGGAATCGTGCCAGCTGTCAAATGTCTAATCGATCAAAGCAAAGTTCAAGATCGTATATGGCTAGATGTAATTACTGTATTCACTTTACTTAGACAACAAATGTGTGCGAGCAGGACAATCACATGCCGATAGAGACAAATTCGTGTTCATGTAATGGAAACTATCTACAACGATCCGATATTTCGGAAGAACACAATTAAAACCTATATCTTCATACTAGAGGTACTACACAAGCAAAAGCAAAAGCATCAACGGCCCAGATTCGTTCATCTTCCAATCCAACGTACGGCAGTACACAAAATCACACACCCAAAAAAAAAAAAAAAAAAAAAAAAAAAAAAAACCCAACTTATACAACTCTCACAATTCCCAAAGCAATCAATTGCCACTAAATCAAGATAACCCCGAGCCCAATCAGTAGAGCTCGAACAGAAACCCTAAAATCAAATCCTCATACTCTACCCATGTATATCGAAACCCAAACTCGGCAAAAGAACAGCACAAACATGAATTATACATATCAAATTGAAGCTGCAAATCATTCAAACAGAAAACAATCGGACACAGCAAATCAGATCCAACATGGGCAACTAAAAAAAAAAAAAAATGAACTGAGGAGTATTCGAAAAACTCACCTAACATTTGGCGAAAGCCTGTGTAATTCTGGTGCAGAAGTTTCAGCTCTGGTAGGGGAGAACGGATTGTAGGCTTCGTTTGTCAAATAATAATATTTCTGGTGACATAATTACTTTAATAGTTACAGCAACTCAAAGCTTTGTTTTTTTTTTTTTTTTTTAATGTCTTTTTGTTTCAAACAAGAGAGGGAGAGAGGAGAGAGAAAGAAGAGAGAGAGAGAATGTGTCCGGGTACCGTGTATTGGAGGGTATATGATAAAGTCACGCGGCTGTGACCGATTTAATGTCAAGGTTACTCGAGAAGACGTAGATATTAGAGGGTTGAAGTGACGGTGAGCCGTTGGATGAAATGTGGGTTACGGACTAAGGCTGTGAGGGTAGCAAAAAGAGGTGTGTGGGGTCGGCATTGGATTTGTAAGGAGAAACATAAGAAACCCCCAGTGGACCTTTTTCTTTTTTGGGAAATTGGGGGGTTTCTAAATTCCACTAGCCTAGATTTTAATCCCACAACTTGCAATTTAGAATGTGGAATGAATTGTTTCTCTTTTTTTTATATATATGCGGGAAAATGAGGCAACCCCTCCCTATTTTTTACATTATTAGTGATTAAATAATGGGTTTAATACTTTTTTTTTTTCTCAAAATTATGATAATTGTATTTTACCATTGACCTCACCGACTCCCCCTTCTATTAACAAGTAATACCTGTTTTTTGACTTTTGAGATCGTACATCTGGTGAAGTTCATTCGATGAGCTCTGATTACAATCATTGGCGCCGTTCGAGCGATGCCGGTCGGGGCATTTTTTTTTTACAATTTTTCGGTTTTTTTTTTTTGAAAATTGTGGTGATTTTATAATTGATTTCATAAATACAATAAAGCGTCAATTGAAATGACGTTCTTTAAAGACCGTCAGATTGAGCTAGGATCAACGGCCAGCTCTCCAATTTTGTCCTCTTAATCGGACATTCAGGGATTGATCAGAAGATCTGACGGCCCTTAAAACGCGTCGTTTTGAACGACGCGCTTTGACCTGTCAGATGGTTGAACGCGTCAGTTCAAATCGCGCGTTTTAAGGACCGTCCGATTCTTCTCGATCCAACGGCCGTGATTTCGGCCGAATATATATATATATATCCCTTAAACAATTAGAATTCACCCACATTTGCTCCTTTGCTCCCTTCTTCCCAACCAACGTGAGTTCTTTTTCTCTCTCTTTTTTTTGTTGATTATTATTTATTTTTGTTTAATTTGTATTTTGCTAATTTATATTTTAATTAATGTAGGTAATTTTAGTTAATTTCAGCAGGGTACTTATTGAGGTAAATTTTTTCACAATTATTATTATAGTTAAATAGGATTTTAATTATTATTTTGTTAAATTTTTATTAATGGTGGATTAATGGAATTTTGATCTAGTAAATTATCAATTAATTTGGAGATAAATTATTTATTGTATTGTTAAAATATATATAATTTATTATGAAATTCAAATTTTTATTGTTGTTTTTACTTGTTATTTTTAGGTTAAATTTTAACTTGTGGTGGATTTAAGAAGGAATGTTTGATTGTGTTTAAATAATTTCTAAAATTTAATTTTTTTTAATGGTTTAAATATGATACGAGTAGAATAATTAGTATGATAAATTAATTAATTATTAGTGAGTTAGTGGATAAATTGGTAGAATTAGTCATGGCATTAGAATAGGTGTTATCTTCAACAAGGCTACCAACATTGGAACTGAGGTTCAACTATTACCTTATGAACTATTATGTGGTTTTGTTCGTTTATTGTCTCTTTTTCAACTAGAGTTTTTGTAGAATTTTAGAATTTTCGTACCGTAGACAAGTTTGTTTACTTCTTCCATATTTTATAATTTTAAGCAGACGAATTTTGTTGTGTTTTTATCTGTTCAAATTGTTGATGTTATTGGTGCTAGTAATCACTGTAAATGGCCGGTGTGTGCCATTTTCTTAGTACCATTAATTTATGACCATAAATCGTCTCTTTTACCATGATTAGGGTTTAGATTTCAAATTCATGATTGCAAAATGTTTGAATTTATTGATATTTAGTCAAAATTCAATATCAATGACTTTAAAATTCTTATTTTTTTCTTTTCAATTTATAAAAATGGTAAAATTACACTTTAGCCCCTCAAGTTTACATTATTTTCACTTTTGATCCAATGTTTTAATAATTTAACATAATTTCATCTTTTTTTTCTTTTTTTTAATAATGGCTGAAATTTAAATTTTGTTGTGTTTTGATTGTTATAATTAGGTGAAATGTAATTTGCGGTTGATTGAGAAGAGATTTACGTTGCTAGCAAATAATAATTATTTGGAGGTATTTATTTGTTATATTGTACAAATTTTATTATTTTTTATTGCTGAAATTTTAATTTTTTTTATTGTTATAACTAGGTGGAAGTTTAATTTGTGGTGGTTTGAGAAGGGATTTTTGTAGCTAGCAAATAAAATAATTTGAAGGTAATTATTTGTTATATTGTACAAATATAGTACAACTTGGGGTTGGAGCTGTTTTTTTTCCCTTTTTAAAATAATTGCTGAAATTTTTATTTTGATGGTTTTTTTATTATTATAAATAGGTGGAAGTCTAACTTGTGGTGGATTGAGAAGTGGTTGTGGGTCCTAGCAAATCTTCAATTATATTTGAGGTAAATTAAATATTTTATTGGTTAATTTAAGTCTTACTTGAATGATAAGTTTGCTAATTTATACAAATTGTTTGTTTTTTAACTGGTTAGTGTTATATGAATGTGTCGAAAAATTACGAGTTACACAATTTGTTTAGGATTTATAATATACAAATTAATAGTTTTCGAACTATCATCAAATTATAAAAAGAATTAGAAAATATTAAATATTAATTGTTTGTTTTAATTGATTTGTGTTTGTAGCTATAAAAAGAAATAGAAAATATTAAATATTTCGAAATAAAAATAATAATCTCAAAATATTAAAATATAGGGTTTCAATGGCGACTCCGGGTAGGAATACTGTCAAAGTTTTCGTGTACATAGGAGGCAAGATTGTTCATCATGATGGATTGTCAGTGAATTATGATCAATCTCATCATACAATCGTACGAGTTAAACACGATATATCTTTCTCAGACTTCTTAGCGAAAATATACTCACGTTGCCGAATAGATAGAAATGAATTTGTGTTATCGGTGTCTGGCAAAATATCACCATGGTATCAAAATCAGTGGAGCGAGATAGTTTCTGAGATAACAAGTGATGATGATTTAGAAATCTATTTGCACCCGGATGAAGGAAACGATTCCATACATGTTTAAGTTGAGTCTCAACCTTTACACAATCCTTTGATGCCTTCACAATTCACTACATCAGAGCCTCTCTACTCCCCTTCGAGACCTTCACAATTCAGTACATCAGAACCTCTCTACTCCCCTTCGAGACCTTCACAATTCACTACATCAGAACCTCTCTACTCCCCTTCGAGACCTTCACAACCTCTTGATTTAAATGAAACGTACAATTTCTTTATGCAAACGAGTCCTGAGTTAGTTGCGGTTACACAAGGGTTTTCTAATACGAGCTTTGAAGCGAGGCCATCGAGGCATTCTTATCAAAATCTCGGGGTATATATTGGGGAATCAAGTGGCATGAGAAATGCTCATGAAAATTTTGATCTTCCTAATGAAACTCGTCATTGTGATAATAATGATGACGAGGATCCTTTAGGAGACGCACATGGGCCAAATGTTCTAAGTGACTCTGAACCCTCCGACCATGGAGACGATGATGAGAATGGTGAAGAGAACAACGATGAGAATATCGAAGTCGTTGATGACATTATACAAACAATATCGCAGGCAGAAATTCCATCAACTCCCCATGTTCATGTCAACATTCCATCATTTGCAGAACCTCCTACTCAGTTTTATGATCCACCTTCGTTCTACTCAATGTCATTTCCTGAAATCCCAGCCGATTCCATCGATGTTCCGCCGGGTATGTGGTCAAAATTTTATGATAGCGCAAAGGTACTCTCGAAAAGGGGATGATTTTTTATAGTAAAGCACGGGTCATTTCAGCCGTTAGAGACCACTCCATTTGATTCGCCAAAAGAGAGTTTAAAGTTATCGAAAGTACAAAAAGAACTTGGAAAGTTATCTGCAAACATGGCACTGAAGCAAGACCTTGCAGATGGAGGCTAAGAGCATCAAGAATTGGGGATAGAGGACAATTTAGAATTGGGATCTACGATGGCGATCATAGTTGCGGTATGCCAGGGATGACAAACAATCGTGGCAACTTGAACATCAATTATTGCGCCGCAATTCTATTGAAAAGTGTTCGTGAAAATCCAGTTTGTGAGATTTCAAAGGCAAGAGAGATTGTGACCGCGCAAATAGGATATGAGATATCCTACATGAAGGCATGGTACACTTTGAAGAGATGCAGAGAAAATGTATATGGAACATGGGAGAGTTCGGTGAAGAAGTTGCCAAAATTTATGAAAGCACTGCAACAAAGAAATCCAGGCACAGCTGTTGAGTGGGAACATCACGCGACAAATCATCCATCGAAATACATAATCAAATACGTCTTATGGGCCTTCAAGCCATGTATTGATGGTTTCAAATACTGTCGTCGGGTGATCAGCGTGGATGGAACTCGTTTGTACACTAAGTACAAACATAAGATGTTGCTTGCTGTGTGTTTGGATGTGTATCAACAAGTTTTACCACTTGCGTATGCAATTGTTGATGAAGAGACCGCAAGTGAATGAAAGTGGTTTTTCAAATGCATTCACAAACATTTACTTTCCGGCATATCAGATGGTATTTGCATAATTTCGGATCGGGGTTCTGGAATTTTAAGTGCCATCGACTCAATGCCCGAGTTTAGGTCCCATCGCATCACCCATCGATTTTGTTTGAGGCATGTTTGTTCAAATGTCAACCCCAGTTTTAAGAGCATTGTGGTGAAAGATTTATGTTACGCTGCTGGAAAACAATCTCAGGTATGGAAGGTGAACCGGTATTTGGACAAGATCCGGGAGGAAAATCCCAATGCACACAGATACTTGATGAACATGGATCGAGAAAAGTAGACTTTAGCACATGATGGAGGGTCTCGACGCGGTCAATTGACGACCAACTTGTCCGAGTCGATTAAAGGAGCTTTGAAAGATACTCGTAAACTGCCTATCACATCTATTGTGGATTTTACATTTCATCGAGTGGTTAAGCACTTTTTTAATCGAGTAGCGAAAGGTAATGGTTGAGAGCAATCGGGACAACGATGGCCCGACTTTCCATTCAAGAAGTTCAAATTATGGGAGGAACATTCGACGACCCATTACATGAGAAGGTTCAACACTCGCAACTACGCTGGTGAGGTATTGTAGAGTATGTGGCCCAAATGAATTCTTTGTGAATGACCCATTAAAATCCCACCTTACAACCCACTTACGAGCAACCCACAATATTTGAGCCCAAAATTAAAGTCGGCCCAATCTCACTTTGGTTTTCCCTTTTCTCTCTCTTTTCACCATTTACTACTCTTGTTTTTCAGCAGATTTGTTTTCAATCTGCCCCTTTTTTTTCTCAACAAATCTTGGTGATTTGTTACCCGATTCTTTGTGAGTTTGGTGGAGGATTTGTGCGTATAAGTGCACCCTATTCCTTTTCTGTGAAAGAGACGAACAAAAAAATGAGAAAATAGAGACGAGAATACTTCGTGTATTTTGAGAGGGAAAAATAGAGTGAAAAGAGAGAAACCATTTTTTGAGAAGCAAAGCTCGATTCTTTCGATGAATTCGAGCTTACTTCTTTAGGAATAAACCGGTGAGATTAGGGTGTGAATTTGGGTTTCGTTTTCTTCGTTTTGTTCGTTAGAATACACTGTGTGTGTACGTGTGTGTGTGGCTGCCGTGAGTGTTTGGAGGCCCCACTTGGATCTTGGACGAGGACTCGGAAATTGAGGGCTGAGCCGGAGAATCGACGACCGTTGGAGCTTCCCCATTGCAGAATTTATATTCTGCGTACGGTTCTATTTTCTGTTCCTTTTATTAATTGCTGCTAATTTGCAACTATTGCGAATTCTCAATTCTCGTTATTATTAATTGTTGGTTTGGAATTGTTTAAATAATTTATATGGCTGCTTATTGTTATCAGCGTTTGTTGCTGATTGTTTGTCTATATAAATTGTTGTCATTAATTTAATAATTAATTAATTGTGTTGGTTTATTATATTATATTATATTTTAATTGTTTCTAATAAAATATGAGTATTTTAATTTTGTGTGGTTTGTCTTCTTCGGGCGGATACCCAACAGTGGTATCAGAGCCAGGTTAAGGGTCCGTCCGGAGCGGCGTACGAAATCCTGGTCCAGGGGTTTCGCTCCGGTATAAATTTCTACTCTTGGTGAGTTGATTGATTCTTTGTGATAATTATACCTGTTATTGGTGAATGTTGGTGATTCTTTTATTTATTGCTTCCGCTAATATTTTGTGTGAATCTGTGTGATTCCTTATCTTTGTGATATTTGAAAAATTGGAATCTTTGTGATCCGTTTTTGCTCTGAAATTGTGAATCTTTGTGATTCTATAATTGTGTGGTTTTTTGAAAAAAAAATAAAAAAATTGTGAATCTTTGTGATTCGATTTTGCTAAAGTCTATTGAATCTTTGTGATTCTCTTGTGTGTTGATCCTGCTGATATTTAATCTTGGTGATTTTGCTATCTTTGTGATACTTGAATATGGGATCTATGTCTATGTTAGTTATCGTTAGCTCCTTTCGATGGAAAGGGTGATTTTTCTATTTGGCAACAAAAAATAAAAAGTATTTTAATTCATCAAAAATGTTTTAAAGCGATTTCTTTAAGTGAGGAAGTTTTTATAACTGTTGCTAAACGTGAAGAACTTGATGATCTTGCTTATTCTGCTATTATCTTGAATCTAAGTGACTCTGTGATTAGAAAAGTAGGAAAGCATGATTCTGCTAGAAGTTTATGGGATAAATTGGAAGAGCTTTATGTTGAAAATTCTTTGCCCAATAAAATGTTTTTGCTTGAAAAGTTTTTTGGATTTAAATTGGACTCTCGCAAAAATATTGATGCTAATATGGATGTTTTTACCAAGTTAGTTCAAGATATTAAATTAACTGGTGATAAGAACATTGATGATTATACCCCTATTGTGCTCTTGAATGCTATTCCTGATATTTATAATGATGTTAAGTCCGCTATTAAGTATGGTAGACATAAGATTACTTTAGATACTGTGATCAATGCTTTAAAAAGCAAAGAGCTTGAATTGGGGATTAATAGGGATAATTCATTTAGTGAGGTTAATTTTATTAAAGGAAGTCAGCCTAATCGCTTTCAAAACTATAAGGCTTCTTCGAGTCAAATTGATCAAACTAAGAAAAATGGTGGAGATTGGAGTAAGTCAAAGGCTAATCCTAATAATAGAAGGTGCTTTAATTGCGGTGACCATAGTCATTTCATTAGTGATTGTCCCAAGCCTAAGAAAAACCAACATAGAGATCAAACCAATATGATATCCGACGATGGTGATGTATTCTAATGTGTTAGAATATTTGCATTACTTTGTGTTTTGCTTATTATTTGCATTACTTTGTGTTTTGCTTGTTTTTTGCATTACTTTGTGTTTTGTTCTTTAAACTTGTACTAACTTTGTGTTTTGAGTGCAGGTAGTGTCATACGGCAATGATGACTTCATTTCTCCTAAAAGGGTCCCGATGATCCATTTGGGCCATGTGGAGATTTGTAGAGTATGTGGCCCAAACGAATTCTTTGTGAATGGCCCATTAAAATCCCACCTTGCAACCCACTTACGAGCAGCCCACAATATTTGAGCCCAAAATTAAAGTCGGCCCAATCTCACTTTGGTTTTCCCTTTTCTCTCTCTTTTCACCGTTTACTACTCTTGTTTTTCAGCAGATTTGTTTTCAATCTGCCCCTTTTTTCTCTCAACAAATCTTTCTTATCCTCAACAAATCTTGGTGATTTGTTACCCGATTCTTTGTGAGTTTGGTGGAGGATTTGTGCGTATAAGTGCACCCTATTCCCTTTCTGTGAAAGAGACGAAAAAAAAATGAGAAAATAGAGACGAGAATACTTCGTGTATTTTGAGAGGGAAAAATAGAGTGAAAAGAGATAAACCTTTTTTTGAGAAGCAAAGCTCGATTCTTTCGATGAATTCGAGCTTACTTATTTAGGAATAAACCGGTGAGATTAGGGTGTGAATTTGGGTTTCGTTTTCTTCGTTTTGTTCGTTGGAATACACTGTGTGTGTACGTGTGTGTGTGGCTGCCGTGAGTGTTTGGAGGCCCCACTTTGATCTTGGACGAGGACTCGGAAATTGAGGGCTGAGCCGGAGAATCGACGACCGTTGGAGGTTCCCCATTGCATAATTTATATTCTGCCTACGGTTCTATTTTCTGTTCCTTTTATTAATTGCTGCTAATTTGCAACTATTGCGAATTCTCAATTCTCGTTATTATTAATTGTTGGTTTGGAATTGTTTAAATAATTTATATGGTTGCTTATTGTTATCAGCGTTTGTTGCTGATTGTTTTTCTATATAAATTGTTGTCATTAATTTAATAATTAATTAATTGTTGATTTATTATATTATACTATATTTTAATTGTTTCTAATAAAATATGAGTATTTTAATTTTGTGTGGTTTGTCTTCTTCGGGCAGATATCCAACAGGTATTCACCAGGGCAAAACCTTAAGTAGGTGGAGGAAAAATGCATTGTGTCGATCTTAGGGCCAAAGAATGCTCATAATGCTCATGTAATAAGTGGACCTTGTTTGAGATTTCTTGCTCTCATGTGCAACATGTATGTCGTGATTTCCGTTAGGATGCCGAAGTTTTGGTTGCCGAGTACTACAGTGTTAGAAACCATAAGAACACATATAGTGGCGTGTTTCACCCTTTGCTGCCCGAAATGTATTGGGAGGATGCAGATTTTGAGCTATTTCACGATGTTACCCTACGGAAAGCTACACGACGGGGTATGCA